GGGTAAATGCCTAACTGCCAGACAGGAAAATGCTGTTATGAGATGAACTTCTACTAATCACCAATCAATCATGCCAACCATAATAAATTTCAGGGTGAGAGGTGAACCATTTAAGCAGTGTATGTTTGCTGAGGATGTTTTAAAGAAAGTCACACCACTGAACTAGTGGAAGTCGCTAGCAAAGCACCTGGAACCCAAGTTTGTGGAAGTGCTGAAGCAGCTTTTGCTAGCAGCATCTTCTTTTGCAGATGCAGAAAGAGTATTTTCTTCACTTGGACTGATTCATTCAAAGCTGAGAAATCAATTGAGAGTTGAAAAAGCTTGACAGCTTGTTTTTCTCCTCCAGACTATGAATAAAAAGGGGAGGAGGATAAGATTTAAGAATTCTAAAATCTTGAAAGAAAAGTGATAATTTTTTCAAAACAACCTAGTAAAAAATGACCATCTCATTGTAAAGACAGTTAAGCAAGTAGGAATTTAAGCTCAAATGAGTTTCACTTAGGCATTTTAGAAAATTTGCCACGGGTGACCGGAAATAATTGGTTTTAATTCACTATTCACAGTTCATACGTCTAGTACTATAACAGTTAATGCTACTAGTTAGTAAATTAGTTAGTTGTAAATGGGCACCACATTTTGATTAAAAAAGTTTCTGTATCCAAAACATCAAAAAGTTTGTTTAATAAATTTGAAGTGCTGGTTGTATGTTTAATTAAATTCAAATTACCAACTTAACAAAGCTTGATACAATACAAATATGAGCAAAAAGTTAATCATCTAGTGTATAAGAAACATACATTTCCCCATTTTATAGTACACCAAAATGTAGGATTTCCAGCAATCCAAAGATGTTAAGCTATATATATATATATATATAAATTATTTACACACACACACACACACACACACACACACACTTGTGTACCTAGGAAACATACATACCAAATCACTGTAAAATCTGTTTAGTTGTAAATAGACATATTTTAATTATTATATCAACATTTCTTAATAAAAATACAATGGGAAAGTTGATTTAAAAAATTATTTATTTAAATTAGGCTTTTGACTTGCTGGTTTAAATTTTGATTTAAATCTGCTATTTTCAATTTGGATTTGGCCCGATTCAGGGGACAGTGATTCAATTCGCTGATTCGGATCACTTTCCTGATCTGATTCGGCCAAATCTGAATCTGAAGATTCGATTCGGATTTGCAGAATCAGCAATTCTGCCACAGACACAGCATTATACGTTTTTTCTACGTACCTCAAGGCACTAGGGATGGCACGTGAACGCTGAGCCGGTGGGGCAGATGGAGCGTCCCACAGGAGTATGGGGGGGCCCCCCCACATGCGCAGTGGTGGAGCCGGAAGTGGAGCGGAAGTATTTCTGGGCCACTTCTGGGTCCGCCACCGAGCATGCAGGGGGCCCCCCCCCCGCACCCCACCGGCTCAGCGATCAGCCACAGGGGGACCCCAGGTGCTCCCCCAGACCCAGGAGGCACCAGTTGCTGAGCTGGGGGGCAGAAGGGAGTCCCCCGTGCGTTCCACAGTGGACCCAGAAGTGGACTGGAGGTGCTTTTGGTCTACTTCTGGGTTCACTGCCAACCCCACAGCGGGATGCTCCATCTGCCTCACCATCTGTGTTCATCCCCACCTGGTACCTTGAAGTATGTAGAAAAAACATATAAAGCTGTCTCTATGGCCAGATCATCAAATCTCTCCGAATCAAATTGGAGGCTTCCGATTCAACTTGGACAGATTAATGAGTTTCCTGATTTGATTCAGATTCTGAGATTCGGCCGCTGAATTGGGCCGAATCTCCTCTGAACTGAATCAGCGAGCAAAGTTTGCACAGCTCTAACTTTTAGGTAAAGAACTGTATGCACGCAATTAGCTACTTTATGTGAACAAAGTACTTACATAAATTAAGTTCACAAATACATGTGCATTTTTATGTTCAAGTCATAAACACCAAGAGTAACATACTATGCTTACTTATAATTTATACTATGTAAAAAAGATTTCACAACATTACATCCTCTCATTTAACCTGCACATGAAGTTGTCAGAGCTGATTTGAATCAGTGCCTCGACACAGCGGAACTTTCCAGCACAAGGCACGGTAAGGCAGGGGAATTCTCGGCATGGTGAAGAGTTCCAGCGTGGACAGAGTTCCCGCCAAGGATATGCAGATTTGCATAACATGATTGGCCGATGTTAAATTATTCCCATGTGGCGGCTGGCAATCATGTGGCAGCTGGCAATTGGCTCGCTAGCCATATAAAAGATTAGGGGCGTTTCCGCTCTAGTTGGAGAACTCCGCGATTCCCCCTGGAGTGGAACTCCGGCAGTTTGATCACCTGCCAACAACTCCCCGTCGTCGAAGCCTTACAACGTATCCTCTGTGTTGCATGCCCGAGTTAGACCCGAGCTACCCGGTCTACAAGAGCTCCTCGATTAGCGACTAAAGATTAGAATTGTTGCAACTACGATTGAAGTGTGAAGTCACTTCTTGCCTGCGCTGTATAAGACTCTACAGTGTAAGTAAAACCATCTCTGTTTTTCTAACTGATACGTGTCCCGTCTGTGCCTAATTCCGCTCCGGTGATAGAGAGTACCCATCTGCCCGTCACGGGATCACAGCCGCAACCCCAGCTAGCGTTCCCGAGGACTCCCGATCCTCGGTCCCCCCTCGGCCCCCACAGAAGTCACTAGTTTTTTCCTTAAGAAGTTACAGAAT